AAAAAATAATATTTATCATAACACAAATAGAGTAATAATGAATTTATTTTAAATAATTTATTTTCTCTTATATTTAAAAATTTATTCAAAAGAAAATTTTAAATCTTACATTTAAAATAACTTATTAGCAAATTTGAATGAAATTTATTACCAAACATGCCTTGTATTTTGTATTTGAATATCCACTCATTTAATGATTTGTTTTAATTATAAATTTATAATTACATATGATATTATAAGTATAACATCATTATGTTTTGATCAATATTTTGATTATAATAAATCAACTATACATGTTTTTTGAAAGATTACAACACCTTATTTGTTTTTCTATCTATTAACTATGTATTAAAAGGATGTACATAATTTATGCAATTCCAGTAAATATAGTAGTAAATAGTTAATTTACAAAGTATTTTTTTTTATTTACTATAGTTTGGGTTGGGGGATTTCAAATTATTAATTGATCAACAAGTTTGATGTTAGGATTTGTCAATGGCCGATATTAAAATTAGCATAAATAAACTTTGGATAGTGATTGGTACACCCAATATTTCAACACTTGATTCAATACCATTTGGTTTAATTATTAAAAAATCACTATTTTTTAATATGAAATTAAAAACAGATAAGTATAATGATACAATTATGCACATAAAATACAAAATTTTACTAAATTAATTATATTTATATTATATTTTTAATAATTAAACAAAAAAATATTGAATCAGGTGTTGATATATTAGGTGTACCAATCATTTCTCATAAACTTTAGAGGAAAAGTTTTGGAGGCAGTAATTGTTAAAAAAAATCATATAAAAAAAAATAATAGTACAAAGATTTAAGCAGAAAATTTTTTGACAATTTCATTAATAAATTGTACTCTCTTTTGTGATATTTTTTTAATTTTATCTTTAAATAAAAGAATAATGAACTTTCTATTTAGAAAATTATTGAAAATCCATCACTTGTTTCCACATTTCATGGCCACCAAACTCGTAAATTCCGTTTTGCTCTAACATCCTTAACACTAACAAGCTCGTCAAATAAATTAATTTAAACCTCATATGGAAATAAAAATACATAGCATAACTTGTAACTAAATTTTTTCCATTTTAATCTAAATAATTATTCCTGATAGATAGTAAAAAAAAAAAAAAAAATCATTTTTATCAATCCCGTGCTGCTTCCTGCTCCACGGTCCCGACTTATAGGACACTCTCGTGCTCAGGCCTGAGCTTCAGTCAACAAGTCAAACCATGCACGTGCCTTCTAAAGCTTACGGAGCGCGCCGGACTTTTACCGATTTAATCGGCATCCTTCGTAGAAACATCCCCCCTTTCTGCTACTTCCACCCACCATCCTTCTTTCCTTCCAAAATTCAGCTCAAATTCGCTTCAAATAAATCACAAACCCCAAATCAAATCCAACCCAAATTGTCGCCCCCACAACACCACAATTATCCTCTCCCCATCTCCTCTTCTTCTTCTTCTTCTTCTTCCCCTACTCTTACCCCTCACTTTTCCCTGTCTTTTTTCCGACCACTTCAACTACTGGGTTGTTGAGAATTTTCTTTCTCATGACGGACTATCGACTGCCGCCGCCGTCCATGCCCATGAATCTTTGGACAGACGACAACGGATCGGTCATGGAGGCTTTCATGAGCTCCGATCTTACTGGTCTGTGGCCGCCTTCACAGTCTTCTGCATCCACCTCCACCCCCCCAATACCCGACCCATCTAAGGCCCTGGCCCAATCGCAGCCGCAGGTCCCGCCTTTTAACCAGGAGACCCTCCAGCAGCGGCTTCAGGTTCTGATTGAGGGCGCTCGCGAGAGCTGGACCTACGCGATTTTCTGGCAGTCGTCTTATGAATACCCCGGAGCTGCTGTTCTTGGGTGGGGAGATGGGTATTATAAAGGGGAGGAAGATA